GCAAGCCAGAATGAGACTACTGTAGGTAATTCTGCTTATTTTAATACAGTGGATAACTGGCAACTACATGGTGTTTGATACTCCCTAATCTCTCTATAAAGGAAGTCCCAATCTATGAAAGAGTTCTTTTCTAGGGATTTATTTATATGTATTTTTCTATGGCAATAATTTTAAAGGCAGCAGTCAGACCTAACCCTCGTTATTCTTAGACTAGCTCTCTAAACTTATTAAGCAGCTTTAGTTTAGTGGTTAAAACTGTGGGTTGTAGAAACAGACTATCTAGATTCAGATCCTTTCCCCTCCATGAGCCAGATGTGTGTGACCTTTGACAAGTTATATTAATCTCTCAGTTTCCTCACTTGAAAATGGAGTTAACAGCACTAATCACCCCCCAATAAGGTCCTTTTAAGGACTGAATAAATAATGCACACGTCATAAGTAACTCCTTCCCAGCCTGCTGTGATAACCATTCTATAATCTGGCCCCTTACATACAATTTAAGCGAACTTGATCATCACCCATAGTCTTGCTCATATAATATACTATTGGAAATGATGCTTATCACATACTTCTATTTCCAGGGGAAGGGCTTCCATTAGAGTAGTTAAAATTTATTCATGAGAGGGGAAGGGAGGGAGAAAGAGAGGGAGAAAAATATAAATGTGAGATAAATCAGCTGGTTGCCTCTCACACCCCCCCAAGTGGGAAACCTGGCCTGCAACCCAGGCATGTGCCCCAATTGGGAATAGAACCTGTGACCTTTTGGTTCCCAGGGTGGCACTCAATCCACTGAGCTACACCAGTCAGGGCAGAAATCACAGATATTTTCATATGATATTTCACTGGTTGCAAATATCTGAAAACATCATTTACATTCATCACTACTTTGAAATTATAATACTTATTAGTCCTGCCGCTAAATCTTATTATTTAATGCACTAACAAAAAGCACATATGACTTATAATAAATTTATTTATGCTTTCAGGGTTGTATTTTAGTGTAACTGTCTTCCTTGTAATGTCATATATAATTTATTTTATTCACATGAAAAGATTATTCTAAGAACAGATCTGTAAGCTTCACCAAACACCAAAGGGCCTATTGCCTAATCCCCAGTGGGTCAGTAGCTCTTTGGTAGAATAAAATTGGCCTTGGTTGGCCCACTTAACTCTCCCCAGTGAGAGGGCCAGCCAGCAGGAAGGGTCTGCAGTTCTCCCACCCTGCCTGTGAGTGAGTGGAAGAATCTCCCTAATAAGATGGTGCAGTATTGGAGAACCTGCTTGGTCCATTCCAGATCTAAATTATGTCCTTGGATATATGAGTATCACCTATAAAGAGAATATAGCGATGTCCAGCTGTCTGACTCCTGAATCTCTTTCTTTCAAGTAGTTCCAGATTACAGCAGAGATGGCAGTTATTAGGTCATGTCCAACAGCAACAGACTAAGTGACACAGTGTAATCTGTCATTTCAACCATGCGTCTTAGGGTCTCTCCAGCCATATGGTGGGCCCACTATGGATGGGTCTGTGTCTTGCCCTCCCCGAAGCAGTGAAAAGGGCAGTGTTGAAAAGACAGTGTCTCTGGCCCCAGGCAGTTTGGGTCCAAATCTGAGTTCTGATACTTCATAAATGGGTGACCTTGGGCAAATTACTTGAGCTCCTAATGCCTTGTTTTCTCATCCATAATTGCACTTTCCTTGCATGGTCTAGGCGAGGGCTGAGCAAGTTAAAATGTGACATAGAATGGTGCGTAGCATGTAGTGAGAACAGAAGGAAAAATCCTGTATTTTATAGCCTAGGTATTTTTCAAAATGCAATGAAAGCAGCTAAGGATATTTTTCCTGCAGATAAAATCCTGAAGTGCTGGAGATAAAGATTTAACTCACTGAAACACTACTAAGCCTCTGCCAAGGTTCTCCTGTCCCTTACCAGGAAGAATAAACTCAGCTTTCTCTTAAGGTCATGGTGTTTTCAGGGGGCAGCACATGAAATAAACCAAAGAAAACATTGGAATAAATGGGAAGGAGGGACATGTGAGAATGGGACCCTGGAGATAGTCTGTCCAGCAAGGAACCTACCAAGTTTCTGTTGTTTTTAAGACATAAACAAATTTCCTACGAGAATTGGGTGTTTTCCCCCAAATTTTCTCAAGACCAATCTGAAGTAAATACTAGATTTTTTAAACTTATCATTCATAAATAAGTACAAATTCTCTATGCAGATACACATACGTAGACCTCATGGGGTGGGCAAGATACTTTTCTGTCTGGATTCTTGTTTCCATTATCACCTTGGTCTGAGGGCTGACCTCAGATTTCTGGCATGGTAATAGCCACTAAAATCTTGAACCTTCTGGTATTTCCCATTCTCTCTGTCCTGCAATCATCTTTATATGTGTAACATTCATTATTCCATTGAGACTTTACTACAGTGGGAATCTAGCTTAATTTGCTGAAGTAAAAAATTATATAAGTTTTGACAAGATCTATATTCTAAAAAGCAATGGTACTTTTCTTTGGTATCTGTATTCTCCTCATCCCGCCTCAGGCCAAACACACTGCCAGAAATATGGGAGTCCTCCCTACACAGCTGTTTGAATCAGTACATTCTCTGGGATTTTACTTCAAGGGAGATATTCTCTCCTCTTCATTAGTATGACAGTTGCATCAAGTACCAACTCTGGTGGGGATCCTTCGAAAGATATAAAAAGAGGCCACAATAGGTTATTGGAAACAAAGCTAACTTTATTTGCTTGCCAGGGAAGGGAGTACCACATCACTCTAGATAGAACAAGGTCAGTAAAAGGGGGGAAGTACATCAAATCTGGCGAGAATCTGAGTTCAGGTCTCTGGTTGGTTCCCAAGGCCGAGAGTGAACGCTTCTTCGCAATTGATCATTGCACTGGTTCACTTCGTGCAAGTGTGGGAACCATTCCCAAGAGGTCCAAGTGGGTGTCCGGGGCTCAGACACACTCAGTGCTCCTCAGAGGGCATATGTGAGCAGTTTGTTTGAAGTCATCACAAATCTTGCCTTAGTGGGATCAGTAGCACATGAGGACAGCTGACTTCATCAAGTAAGACTCACCAGTCACCTGTCCCTTCACTCATCTCTTTTGGAACTGCCAGACCAAAGTTCTTTTTCTCGTCAGGGAAAAAGGCATAGAAACATACATGTGTACTCAGAAAAACAAACCTTATGCGAACAGGGTGCCCTTCGAAATTGTAACATAGCAAAATATGAGACACAAAAACAAATACCTGTACAGAAAAGTTGACAGCAACATTACACTAACAGGTAGGAGCGACTAAAATGCACGCTCTTGGAGAATTAATAAACAAATGTGGCACATTCGAACAATGGGATATTACTCAGACATAAAAAGGAATCAAGTACTAATACATGTTACAACATGGATGAACCTTAAAACCATCGTGTCAAGGAAAACAGGCCAGACAGAAATGGCCACATACGGTGTGGTTCCACCTGTAGGAAATGTCTAGAATAGGGATGCCCATCCAGACAAAGGCCAACAGGAGGCTTCTGGGGCTAGGGAAGGAGAGGATGGCAAAGAAAAGGGGTGGGGGTTCTGCTTCAGAATCTAAGAGACTGCAAACACTTGAAAGACAGACAAATAAAACTCATTTCCAAACATTTAGCTGTTTACTTTTCTACAAATACGCTAGAGTTCTAAAAGTAGAAATGGTTTCATAACCAGAGAACACAAGACATCCCAGAAGTGCCTCTTCCAGGCCTTGTCTGCCACCTGGGACCACGGCCCTGGCCCACAGGTCTGCCCGGAGCCGTTCTGCACACTGTGAGGTCTCCCATGTCCTCACTGCAGGTGTGAAAAGCATCATGTTTGTTAGTTTTAACATTTGTCCAAACAAATTTGTAAAAATTGATTCTCATACACTGCCTAAAGCCTACTGAACTAAAGAATCAAATACCAAAACTACCTCCTTCTCAAAGAGGTTTCCAATATTTCACAGGTCACTGCAGCACACATCATGTAGTATAAAACCATCAAAAAGGCTGGGACCTTCTTGTCACATGTTAGCATGGGTGACCTGCAGGGTATCATGCTAAGTGAAAGAGGCCAACCGCAAACCGACCACAACTGCATCACTGCACACACACCAAGTGCCTAAAGCAGTCTGACTCAGAGGAGCAGAAAGGAGCCTGCTGCCTGCCAGGCTCTGGGGAAAGAGCAAGATGGGCAGCTGGTGCTCACTGAGTGCAGCTTCTCTGTTGCAAGATGAAAACCGCTCTAGAGACCTGGTGTACACCAGGCAACTCGAAAGGGGTTCAGATAGTGCATTTTATGTGATGTGCTCATGTAACTCGGCAACATTTTTCAAAACCATTCATCTTGCTCAATTAATGTAATTTTAACTTTATCGGTATTGCAGATTTATTGTTTCAGGGAAACAATAGGCTTCAGGAGTTTCAACTGAGCCTAGTGTGGATTTGATACACTGCAGAACACTAAAATAGAAATCACTGTGTTAACAACAGCAACCAAAACCATGGCATAAGCCAAACAATCTCAGGTTATTAAACACCTTCTTGTTTCTATGTAAAATCACGGGGTTGTGCTTCTGAATAAAGTTTACACGTCTAACAACTGAAGTACTGACACACTAAAATAACGCAGAACGGAGCAACAACTCCATTGCTTTGGGTCGATGTCCTCGTGTTTTTCAAAAGAGAGGACACGGTGCAAGACTCAGGATTTGGGAGTGCGGGGTAGGCCTCCATTCTGTTTGCCTTTGCCCTGGCCTGCTCTCTGCTGGCGCCCACCCTGCTGAGCTATTTGGGCCGCTGTTGCCACTGGGGAGGGCAAGATTCTGAACCTTATATGCTGGGGCTGCGGCTGCTGCTGCTGCTGCTGCTGCTGCTGCTGCTGCTGCTGCTGCTGGAAGGCAGCAGAGGGCTGCACCATGTGTTGTGGGCAGCTCTGCACAGGCCCTGTCTGGGCAGAGTTGGGCTGAGACTGTACCACGGGCTGAGACTGCACCATGATCTGGGGCTGTAGAACGCTTCCGACCCCGTTGCGGTTAATGACGGGAGTTAGGTGAGCAGATAGGGCTGTTTGTTGACTGGCCAAACCCTGTACACTTGAACCCTGCAACACCGGCTGCTGAGGAGAAGTGGGGCGCTGCCGAAGGTGTGGTGCTGGCAACAACTGACAAAACAGCTCCTGTGATGGCGGGGTTTTCCAAATGTCAAAACCTTTTGGACCCCAGAGAACACCTATAGGACTAAATCTCGAAAAGTCTCCTAAATGATGCTGAATACCTCCCTGAGAAAGAGCCTGTGGCACAGCGGGGTGTGTATTTGGTGACTGATCTCTTGAGGGCAGGCAGGTGGTCTTGCCTGGTACAGGAGCCCTGGCCCTAGCAACAGAGGCCCTCCCAGGGTTGAAACTTCTCACCACAGTCTGGGCTTCAGGAACAGGGTCTGCCACTTCGATGGTGTTGGAGCCAGCAGACTTGGCCTTGACCTGGCTGGCAGGAATTGTTTGTGCTGAGCTGGCAGCACACAGGGTGGCTGTAGGAAGTGTGCTAACACGGTTCACTTCCACAGAGGATTTCTGAAGAAGACTCGGTGGCTTTGAAGCAGGGATAGGAGATGGCATTTTAAGAAGGCGAATGCGGCTTGCCTGCTGGGGAGTGAAACTGTTATTACCTGAGGCACTCTTTCCTGAGCTGGAGAGGAGGCTGATGGGTGGAGGGACGCACTGCACTCCCTCCCCAGGTACTGAAGACTGGACTGACGTGGCCAGAGGCTGTGCTGCTTCTTTCTGCAGAGGAAGCTGGCTCAGAGGGCCTGAGCCGCTGGAGCCCTGTGTCACATGGATGGCACATTCAGAGCTCAGTGGCTCCAGTTCCTCGAACAGAGTGTCTGTTTCCCCAGTGTCAATGTTAGACTCAGGCATCAAACTATAGCAATGGTCATCTTTGAAGGAGTGACCGTGAGACACTGGTGTCCCACATCTGGCTTTTTTAGGTGAACTTTCTATTCCTGAGATAAATGGATCATTAAGAGAGTTCATGAAGGTCAGCTCTGTTGTCTGGGACTGATCACCAGCTTCACATCCAAATAGAGAAATATCCTCATTTTCCCCATAGGCTGGCCATTCTGTTAGTGGTGAGTCATCACATTCAAAAGACCATTCCTCAGTAGCATATTTCTCTACATCTGCCTCAGAAGGGACTGCCAAGTCACAGGGTCTCTGGTTCCACATATCCACACCTTTTCCTGCCTTGGAAATTTTGAGGTCATTTTCCTCAGCTGCTTGACTTTCCTCCCTTTTGTTGTGAGGGTCCAGACTACAAGATGGCTCCTGCTGCACATTCAGGGAGGCTGTGGAATACTTCTTGAAGTTCCTTCTCATCGCTGGAGTGTTCATCTTTTGCCTGTTATAGAGCAGCCTGTTTGCAGTGCAGGCTACTGATACAGAAGGATCAAGACACAGGGGTTCAGCTGTACCTAAGATCAGCTGGCTCTCAAGTAACAGTTTGTCTTCCTGGGTCCATTCCTGGTTATCACTGCTTATGGACTGTACATCGCAGGCCAACGTCTGCATCGTTGGGCGGAGGAGGACGTGCCTGCTCTGGTAACCAGGGGGCACCGCATTACTGCCCTGCCTATAGTCCCGAACTTCTGCTATGACACACCCACTGTGAAAAATGTTCAGCTCGGACTTTTCCAGGAGATCCACCAATGCAGGAGGCAATTCCTCTGCATCTAAATATTCTAGAAATGCCCTTTCTTCATAAGGCAGTCGAATGGTCTCTGAATGTGGTTCATTTGGTCCCTTGAGCATCAGCGAATAGCCCTCCTTTCCTGGGTACAGGTTGACCACCAAACAGGACAAGGACTCCCTCTGAACAAGCTTTTCTAACAAGTTCACATTGCTTATTAATTCCTCTGTAACCTCGGGCTCCTTTCCACATTCTTCGACATAGAGGTCATACAGTTTGTCATGGAGAGATTTCCTCCCACCACATGACCGTTTACGTTTAAGGACACTCTGCCGCACACTTTCAATGACACACTCTGCACGATCCAAAGCTCGTTCTAAGGCTTTTTCCATGGTGGCATAAAATGGCGGCACTAAAAGAAGGAAAAAATGTAAGTGCGCTGATGCACGGAGTGAATACTGCCTTTAATGTCAATGTATCCTTTTGCAAAAGCCACGTCTCCACCATGGAGCCACGAGCCTTACTGCAAAATGGACACCGCGAAACCCGTCACCCCGAAAGTACTGCATAAAATACTTACGACTTGGGGGTCGCCTTTACATGCACGAGCCCTGCAGAGGCCGCCGCCTCGCAATGCCTCGAGGACGGCAGGCTGAGCTGGACAGATTCTCCCAGCCACCTGTGTGCTCTGGCGCACTCTACTGCATGGGCGGCTTGCGCCAGCCTTCATCCCATTGTTTCCCGCTGCCACCTCTAGGGGGCGCGTGGCCCTTTCCGAGGACCTCACGCTCCACACTTCCTGGTCTGGTGCCCACACTTTTGCCGGAGAACAGGACCAGGAGGGGTCCTTTCCTTGCCTTTACCACGAAAAGCATGCACACCAAAGCAGAAGCCACCAACGAGAAAGTGCACACTGGTCTGGTACGGTTTTGCTACACACTCATTTGTTCCGGAATGCAATTGCTGGGAGAGTCACGGAAAGGGGTCGTCTCTTTTCTCTGCCAGCCCTCCATCAGGGATTGTTCACTGTTCTTGGACTTTCTTGTCACCAGTGGCAGGGCTGCTCCCAGTGCCCGCCAATTTAACACACTCCAAAGTGTCCACACGTGTGGCTTTTGCATATGTGGGGGCTTTGGTGCGGGCATCGCAATTCTTCATTGACTCTTCCAGCGATCTGCCGCCTACTGGTTTTCAGAGACTCGTACATGTGCGGGGAGCATGGCGTTCTTATACCGTACTGACCTGCTATCTCCCTATGTATTACATAAGGGCATCTTGTAATTGGTAACAGTGTGTGGTAGGTAAATTATATTGCCTATGAATTACAGCTCAGGATTAAAGTATTTAGTGAGAAGGTGATTTGCATCTGAAGGGGTTGAGAAGTATTGTTCCAGGCCATGGCAGAAAGTTAATTGAATGCTCTAAGTCCAGACCATAGCTACAGGCCTAAGGATGGATTTGGACTGAGACAGAGTCTTAGATACGTTATGGGACATTGATTTCCATAACTTCTATTGCTTTGAAGCCTGCCAGCCTTTTTGGACAGGTTTTCAAGAGAATCTCTTGACATTGAGATATAGACCTAATGATAGAATGATGTTTGTAGTGAAGTCTCACAAATGAGAAGAGGTTAAGACAATTTGGTGAAACTCCTGAATTACAGACTGATATAACATAAATGTACTCTTTTAACTGATAGCAATTATGATAAGTATCCACATAGTAGATGCAGTTTATTGCACTAGGATTAAAATCTCCTTGACTAAAAGTTCCTTAAAGACAACCCTGGTCTGGGAAACACCAAGAGCAGTTTTCTCTTGGCCTATGAATTGTCTTTGAGCAAATGTACACTTGCGGAGTGTACTTGTGGAGTGTCCCCACAAGGGGGCACTGAACCAAATCGGTTTAGTTTCTGAATTCTTTTCAGCATCTTTCCCTGTCTCTCTTTCTTCCCTTCTACCTGCCCCAATTTAGGTGAAGCATAAGACTGGATAGCTAAGTCTAGTTTGCTATCCAATAATCAAAATATTTGACTTTAATAAAGCCTGAATTAATGAGGTAGACATGAGCTCTGACTCTCACTCAAAGCACTGCCTTATTCTTCCCACTTGAACATGTGAGCTTAGCTTTGGACCAGACTTGCAGGCCAACCAGGCTCCCCCACCAGGATCCTGTTTGCCTTGTGTCTGCAGGAATTTGCTGAGTGTTGGGTCTGAGAAAGGGTCAGCCTGTAACAGTAGTCTGTGAGCTGGAGAAGCTAACTGGGAGGGCAAAGCTCTGCTTTCTTGTTGCTCAGAAGTAGGCATTTTGTTGGATGAGAAGTGGCACAGGGGACCTGTGTTGAGTCAGGTTATCATCCTAAAAGTGAAAGAAGTCCACGACTTCTGTCGGCTGCTCCTGGCCTGCAGACTAGCCTTTCTGGCTTCTGAGCATGCGTGGCACAGGAGGAAGGCCAGGCCTGGGCTGGGGCTCGTGGGGGGCCTAGGGCACCAGTATGAAGGAGGCACCCACTGTCTAGGTCAGGCAGGTCCCACCAGGGTCAGTTCCTTCACTGCCCCACTTGCCACCCCTTGTCCCAGCCCTCCAAGTGTTCCTGCCCACCTGGTCCCTGCCTCCTGCCCAGCCTCATAGCTCTCTCTCTCCTCTGTTTCATGTGTCTATGCTCCAAACATGGTCACCATGCCGCAGATAGGCCAATACTTGCAGGGCTCTGTGCCTTTGCAAAAGGCTGTTTCCTCTACTGAGAGGCCCCTCTCTGCTCAATCACCTGCTGATATCCAGCTTCTACGTCACACAGCCCTTCCTGACTGCCAAGGAGCATGCCTCCTCCTCTCTGCTCCCCCCGCAAAAGCGCACCTACCCCATGCCTTATCACATCTGGGCTCCCACTGGAAAGGCATTGAGTGTTTGCACGATTTCCCACACAGTCTCTAGATTCTCTGAGGGCAGGGATGATGTCTCTTCTCTGTCTGCTTGGTCACCAGCTTGGTTATCTGTGGGGGTGACTTTCCTTGCCACCCCCTCCCCCCGTGTGCCACGGATGACAGTAAACATGACAGAGACATGATCTGCTTGGGGAGGAGAGGTGGCCTGTTTCCCAGAGGAAAAAGGCCTTGAGCCCCCTCCTGCAGGGCCCTTTATTGGGTTGTAATACACAGGAATACAGGGCAGCAAGGATAAAACAGTAGGTAACATTTCAAAGAAATCTGAGGTCTTAGTATGAGTCAGAGTCTGTCAGGAAGTGTTTTAGGGTTTCCTGCTGGAACCCTTAACATATGAATGGAAGCACTCTTAGCAGAGCAGATTTCACAGGTTTATCAGGAAGTCTTTGTGATGCCCGATTTTTCCCCAGAACACGCTCTAGCAAGGCAAGGTGCTGCACCCCTCCCCAACAGGTATTCAGGCTTAAGGGGATTAGAGCCAGGAAGTGCTTCTCCAAGAGAACATGGGGACTCAGGCTATGTCAAAGCTGGGGTGGGGGCAAGAGTCCATTGCTTTTTGTTGCAACCCCCCCCCCAAGTCCTTCCATGATGGCCTCCCAAGTGATCGTGTCTGGCCTAGGTTGCCCCTCTCTGAGGGGTCATACCCACCATGGACTTCTGACCATGCTTTGGGGGCGGGGAAGAAACTGAAGCAGCATTTGCTACCAGAGACAAGCTTTGTCTCCTGTGGCCTGCATTCCAGAAGTCACTTCATCCTTAGCCACAGGGGGTAGAGTTACAATTCCTAGAAACCAGGCAGAGCAGTCTACAGCAGTTATCATGTGGCACAGGGTTGGCACTAAAGAATGAAGGAATAGTGGACTCCACATTCTATTTACTTCAACTTGAGACTCAAAAACCTTGGGAAGTAAATATTTCATTGTCTTTTTAGAGATGAAAAAAGTACCCAGTGCTGGGGCTTCTGACTCTGGTGCTACACTGTGCAGGGGTTTCTGAACATGGCACCACTGGCGTTTGCTGGTGGGAGGGTGTCCTGTGTGCTGTAGGATGTTCAGCAGCGTCCCGGCCTCACCCCCTAAATGCCAAGAGCACTCATCCTCACTTGTGATCACCAAAGTGGCTCCTGATATTGCCAAATGTCCCTGGGGCAGATCTCCCCCTGGCTGAGAGCCACCCTACCACCCTGCCCTGCAAAGCAGGAGTGTCTCAGATGTAGCTCTGAGCGGGTGTCCCAGGTGTGTGTCACTTAGTAGGCAGGTGTGTCTGCCCACCGTGCCGTGGGAGGGACTAGCTCTCCAGTTGTTTCCCTGACTGTGTCCGAGGTTGGGCTTCCTCAGAGGCCCACCCCAGCAAGAGGATGTCAGTGTGAGTCATTGGAGATGTCCTCTGGAGCAGCCCTGCTGAGGGATATGGGAGCTGAGTCAGGGCTGGGAGTGAGGACAGTCACAGGCATGTTCAGGGGGAGAAGGCTGCTGTAGACAACTGGTTCCTGCTGGGGGCCTCTGGGAAACAGTCCAGGACAGGCCTTGGGTTGTGTTAGCCCAGAGGGAGCAGAGCTCAGATGTTTACTCCTTCACTCCTCTCTCATAGGCTGAGGACAGTCCTGGGGCCATCATTCCCTGTCACTCTATGTTGCCATATATGAGAGCCACATGTGCAGACCTGGCCTGAGAATGCCCTCACACAGAGAGTCACCAGTGCCCACAGTCAGACTGTCTGTGCATATAGAGCAGCGAGTGCAGGGGGAGATGGGCAGGGCACCTGCTGCACCTATGACCACAGCTACGTGGGAGAAGTGGGCCATTCCTTCCTAATGATGTAGAGAAATGGGCCTTGCACCATACCTGGGCTCATGCAGAAGTGAAACTGTACTTCATCCCAGTGACACGGGCAACTTCATGTGCTTTTGTTTGTCAGCTATGAAAGCCAACACAGCCCACAATGGAGGCTGGGACCCACTCCTTCCTTCCCCGCTGGAGGAGCCCAAGGTCGCCTGGGCTACAGGTGCCCTGGATGAGCCCGTGAATGTGGCTGTGCATGTATCTGTGTGCATTAGCTTGCCTGGCAGTTCTCTTCATGGTTCAGGCTTTCCCTTTGCTTGAGCTCCCTAATGCCACAAAATGAGGGCTTAAAAAATTACTCTGTGCACCATCCTTGGAGCCTCCCAAGCACGTTAACAAGCATGCCGGTGGATTAGAAGGATTCCAGCTCCTGCCTTTCCCCACAGCAGCTTGATATAGATGCACATGCATAGAAAAACTCATGGGCAGACTAAACTACACTGGAGGAAGAAGAGAATTGAATTAATTTCCAGATAATTAACCTTTGCAATAGTAAACTGTGTTGCTCCATATTTGTTGAGGTCAAGCATGAAATTTTTAATTAACTGTAATATGCATAGAGTCTAATTTACCTTTTCCAGTGTACAGTTCTGTGAGTTTTGAAAAATG